ATTCCCTATCCCTGTAAACATTTAAGTTCAGGTTGGATGGGGATATAGCTGAGGATGACCCTGCCCATGACACAGGGAAGTGGACCAGATGACCTTTGGAGGTCCCTTCTAACCCAAAGTATTCTATGACTTTATGAATAACTGCAAAACATAGTTTAAACCATAATGAATTTCTTAGATTACATTTATCATTGTGATTTGTAAGAAGACTGAAAAGTTGATTCAAAAGGCTTGAGAGGGAAAAGAATTCAAAGAGATTGGCAAACAAGAGAGAGAAATCCTTTATAAGTTTCTTTAAGCCTTTAAGTTAAGGCAGGGCAGATTGCCTCTTTTTTATCTCTTTTTTCTCCTTTTGAGATGATCTCAATTCTGCATTTTCTGTAAATAATAATAGTAGTAGTAATAACAACAAAAATAAAACTGCAAGACCAAGCAAGGACTTAAATGTATCTTCATACACAACAAGATAGTTTCAGAAAGAGTGGCCCCTGTAGGTATTTTGGAATCAGTGCTCTGCACTGCTAAAGCTCAGCTCATTCCAGCTCTTACTTCACTCTCAGCAAACGTGTTCAAAGATCATAATCTGCAAATAATAAACCCATTGCAATGGATTTGCAGGCAATATGAGTCAATGACTCCCCTGTATAAAGCCTGGAATCACATTTGCTGCTCAGCTACTGACAGAAGAAGGATCTCTGCTGTTCTGACCTGCAGATTTGTGGGATCCTCAGTCCTGCAGTGGAGCTGGTACCATGTGTTGCCTCCCACCTCTGTTCCTACTGCTCCAAGGAAGTAGCAGACTAACACATGAGTTGCTGTTCTGTGTGAGGCTCTCAGCAGTTTGCCTGAATTACTCATCTCCAAAGCCAAATTTACTCTGAAACGTGATATAAAAATGGCACCTTTCTTAATAAACTATCTGCTTCTCATGTATGTTCAACCCCATGGAATAGTCAGTCTCAGAAGGGCTGGAACTCCGTGTGTGGGTAAAGTGAAGCACACAGGAAGTATTTTCCTGCTTGGAGATGAAGCTTTTAGCATGGGTTCTGATATTTATGGAAGTAGGCATAACGGCAGTTTTTGGTAAACTAATCAATATCGGATCATAATTATGCTGGGTCTGCCCAAACCTGGGGGAAGGAGGAGCCTTTGCTTTCCACAACGAGCGTTCTGGCTGTAAATGATCGTCCTTCAGGATCATAATCAGCGTTCTGCTTCATCAAACACATAATCAGCAGCGTACCTGTGTGTGCCTGCCCAGGCCCGCCTGCACACACCCCTGTAAACCTCAGAGTGTGAGGATGTCACCGAGGGCTTGGTGCAGTGGCGGGGGAGAGAGGCTTGAAGGCTGAGAAGAAACAAGCCAGGCTGAGATTACGGAGTCACACCATTTCAGTCTTTCTATTTCGAGCCAAGTCATTGGAGAGGCAACCAGCTTTGAATACCATAATGCCTTTTGTTTTAATGAATCCCTTTCAAAGCTTGCTTTTCACACTTTTGAAGCTTAATGTTAGCACCGTAAAACTAGACAATCTACAGCATACGTCTCGGTGATGGAGAAGATATATATATTTCATTTGATAGTCAGGCTCCCTTGCAAGTCTTCAGTAATCACCCATCTAAGACTGATTTTCCTTTCTCTCCCCAGGTTACTTAGCTCTTTATTTCTGAGATTTGATTTCATTATCTACAGAACACGCAGACATGTGAAATGATTGGGGATGGAACGCACGGCGCTAAAATTCCACCTCACAATTTACAGTCACTTCAATATTTCTTATTCTGATGGAATTACATCTTTTAAACTCATCATTTAAACTCTCCTGGGCATTGGGAAACTATTATGGAGATCTAATTATATGTCTTACTATAAACTGCCAGTAAGAACGTCAACCTAAGTCAGACTGAACAAGTTCTTGGAAGCAGACACGTCCCACCAGCCCACAGCTCACTGCTGCCATTTCACGTGATCTTCATAGAAGCACAGAATGATTTGGGTTGGAAGGGACCTTAAAGACCATCCAATTACACCCCCCTGCCGTGGGCAGGGACATCTTCCACCAGTCCATGTTGTTCCAAGGCCCATCCAACCTGGCCTTGGACACTTCCAGGGATCCAGGGGCAGCCACAGCTTCTCTGGGCAACCTGTGCCAGGGCCTCCCCACCCTCACAGGGAACAATTTCTCCCTAAGATCTAATCTAACCCTGCCCTCTGGCAGTGTGAAGCCATTCTTCTTTATCCTGTCCCTCCAGGCCCTTGTCCCAAATCCCTTTCCAGTTCTCTTGGAGCCCCTTTAGGTATTGGAAGGTGCTGGAAGGTCTCCTGGAAGTCTTTCCTTCTCCAGGCTGAACAGCCCCAACTTGCTCAGCCTTTCATTTTGAACAAACTGGAGAACACACAGAGTTCTGTGTCTGATAATAAATTGCACCAATTGGCAAGATTTGAGGTCTTTTTTCCCCCCCCGGGATGCAAGCCTGTAGTTAAAAAAATAAAATAAAATAAAAGACAAAACCTGAAAGCTGAACAAAACCATCTTTCACTGTGAGGTACAGCAAGCCCAGCGATGCTGTGTTCATATCCTGTTCCAGGGGACCAGCTGAGCTTGTCCTGTCTCTTTGAGCCACTCATTTTCCCCGTGAGGTGGAAGAACTTAAACTTTTATTATGTTGTTACTAAAGCTACTTAGAAATGCTGCACGAAATAAATACTCCAAAGCAAATTTTCACTTGCTTAAAAACTGAAAAAAAAAAAAAAAGTCATAAATCGTTCAGAAATTGAATTTTGAAAGTTAAAAAAAAAATAATTATAAAAAAAGAAGTCTGAGAGTGTCTAAAAGTCCAGTGTGGATTTTTTTTCAGCAGTTTCAGATTTTCAATTTTGAAAGTTAGTTATTTGTGTTTTGCTTAGAGCTGCAAATATAAACATTTACACATTAATAACTGTGGAAAAATAAACCCACATTTTTACAACGGCCAAAAAGATTTTCCATCCTTTTAAGGCATTTTGGTAGTCATTTTTAATTTACAGATGTAATTCCAAAGTAGACCAAAGTAAAAATTAAAAAGTACTATATTTTTCTTAAAGTTGGATTTCTGCTTTTTAGAATTTCTGCAGTTTTAGGAAACAAAACTTTATTTTAAAAATACATTAACAGGAACTGTGAATTAGAAAGTCCAGAAATAACTGCATTACCAGTTGCATTTTGATAAATACTTCTGAACATTTAGACTGATGTCCTGGGCTTCGTTTTTAATGGCAGGATGGCTAATAGGAATTAATGCTATTTTTAGAGATATATGTGTGTGTAGCATAAAAAGGGTTTTTTTTTGCTATCTGATTATTGTGTTGTGGCCTTAGACTGTGTGTTGTTGGGTGCAGTGCAGCTCAACCTTTTGGGCAGGTGCCACAAAAAGCAGAATAACATCAAGTTCCTGTTAGTAGCCACATACAGTTTGTAGATAGGATGATGATTTTTAATATGGAAAACTGTCATCATTTCTGGACTCAAAATACCTGTGCTTGTTCTCGTGGCTGAAAGAATTGTTCCCACCGCTCTCTGAGACAAAACATTCTGATTTAGCATCTCTTTTTTATCAAACAGATGGTTGGACTTGTTGTTCTTAAAGGTCTTTTCCGACC